GGTTTTTCTGCCTCTGACTCCAGCAGGAGCTGGATGTCCTCCGGGAACTCGCCCCTCCTGCTGAGAAGTTTGGACGGTCACTGTGTTTACTCAGGAGGGTTTTGGTGAAGTCCTGTCCCGTCGCCCGTCGTACAGCTGCTCGAGCGGGACACCACAGCAACAACACAGCTTTGCTTAGCTAACTTTTCTTTTTTAGCTTTTGCTCTCACTCCAGCTTTTGAGCTGTCAGGACTACTTTTCAGCAGCTTTAAGTGCAACTGACCAGCTCCGCCTGCATGGAACGCGAGCCTGCGCTTGCCTCGCTGCATCTTCGCGCCCCGCTGTCCACTGAAATCAGGGCCTCTCTGGACAGGGTTTTCGACCTCGAGGCAGAGCTCGCGGCTCAGAGATCGGAGATTTCCCGCTTGCACGGGAGACTCCGCCGCTTGGAGGCGGAGCTGCAGCAAGGCCGCGCCTGGCTCCTCTTTCTTTCTGATAAGATCTCCGCTTTGGAGGACAGTACGCAGAAGATCGCTGTCAGGATACGCTCTCTTATTTCCATCTTTGAGGACACCTTTGGTGAGACTGCCTTCAGATTTGGTTTTGATGTCCGCTTTGGAAGGCGAGGCGCTTGTAAGCGATCCTTATCAGGAACTGGAGTCAGCTGTCGCCTCTGACGTACCGGACTCAGTGCGAGACCCATCGCCCACTTCAGATTCGGAGGTGGTCTTTCCCGCTAGCAAATTTAGAAGACGTTGGCGGCTCAACTCGGCTATCGCAGCCACCGCCAGCTTTTTGCCTCTCAGACGGTGATGTCGCGCCTGACCCTGAGATCACAACAACGCAGAGTCTGTCAGCCATGCAGGTGTCCCCACTTGGAAGAACGATGGCCCTACTGAGCCGGCGCCTGAAACCACGCTGGCAACGCCCTCTGATCCTCTCACCCTCTCTTGTGCATCAGTCCGCTTTTTGATAGGCAGCTCGGGTATAGCCCACTTTTCTGTTTTCCACTCGGGCTCCCGCATGCTATGCTTGGCTTGCCGCTCAGCCGACTGCACGTTTCGATGTCAGCCAGCTTGCGGCTGTTTCTCCATTTTAAACCATCCTCAGATTTACCCCCAGGTGCCCGCTTGTGCAGACGTAGGGCATGTGTTATCGCATCGGCAGAGGGATGCTCGTAAAATGCGCTGCTAGTAGTGCCCACTTTCCCACATGACAGCCTTAATTGCGCTTGCTTGGCTGAAATAGCTTGTTCTAATCGCAGTTTCTTTGTGCCGTTCAGTGCCCGAGATCCCGCTTTTGAGTCCCCTAGCGAGTCTTGCCAGCATGTCGAAGACCCCTTTCAGCGCGGACTATGTCCACAAGCTTTTGAAAACGCTCCCTGAGTCAGAGCGGGAAAAGTTCCTGGAGATGTTGGAGGGGCAGCCACTTATCGAGAAACCGCGCACTTCGGGCGGCTCAGACCCCTCGGCTTCGGCATCAGCCACCGTCTCAGGTGCCGGATGAGTTTTGCGACACGGTGGCCCAGGAGGCCTACACGCAGCCAGCTTCGCCGGCGGCGCCACCTCCCAAGCACGGCAATACAGCGCCTGCGCCTCCGCTTAACCCCGCTGCCGCTGCCAAACAGCCTACAGGGCCCACTGTCCCCAAAAAGGTGGCAGAAACAGCCACCCCCGAAGCCAACCGGGGCACCCGCTGCGGCCCCAGCACCCACAGGTCCGCCGAAGCAGTCTCAGCCCAAGGAGAAGGCCCCGCCTCCCCCGCTGAACATTGATGACGGCAACACGGACCCCACTTCGCAGCCTCCCACACAAGGTGCAGCAGGAGAAGGCGAACGCGCACCGCTTCTAGCTGCAGATGCTCCGGCTTCACGAGTTGGATCCGTCATCAACGACGGTTCAGGCAATCCCTCACTTTGCCTCGTTCAACTCTGGGCTTGCAGGAAGCGGTGTGGCGTCTGTGATAACGCTTTCTGTCAGGCGACGTTCCCAGACCGGAGCAACAGCTTTCATCAAGTGCACCGCTGTCGGGACTGCAAAAGGGCGGAAGGCAGAGCCCGCGCTGCCCAACAAACTCCCGCTTCCAGTGATGAAAACTGGCAGCACTCTAACTGGGAGTGGCACACCGACGCTTGGACACCCGCTTGGGGCTCTCAGGGTGGCTGGCAAGAAGGCTGGCATCAAAGATGGCATCAGTGACCAGACCCGCTTGGGCTCCGCTGTCAAAATTCATGTAGAATACAGACAGCCTGAATCGCGCATGGCACCGCTTCCTTTTGTGCCGGCGCTACGAGATCTCGGGACCGCTTCCCGCTTGGTAAAAGGAAAGGTCTTGTGCTGCTTCGCTCAGAATGCACCGCTTTCAGCCTGCACGCTCTGCAAGCCCATTATCCTAGAATCCACTTTGCCTTGGCCCGAGCAACGCTTTTGTTCAGCCGGGGAGGGCACGCTTCGCTATCTTGCAAGCCCGCTACAGGCCCGGCTCTTGCCCCCCCCGATCTGGCTCTAGCGACTGCGCATCCGCTCACTTCGCAGGTACTCCTCTTGGCCAAGGCGGGAACCACACTCTCTCTCAACTGTTATCTCCTCAACTTCGCTGTGTCAGGTCTCTATGGCTGCCGAGTTCTTCTCGCTTATGACAGACTCGAGCATCCCCGACAACATCCGGGAAGCCCTGGCCTCACACGACACGCCCCTCTTTGCAAGGTCATGCAACAACCAAGACGAGCTGGCCGCCCTCATCGGCCACCTTATGGAGGCCTCAGGCACTTCCGCCGTCGGGGATCAGATACTTGCCAGGGCTTCAGTGCGACTACTTTTCAGCAGATGCAGGGAAAGCTGCGGGTTACCCCCACTGGATGAAGCAAAAGGCCCCCAGCAGCCCGTGGGGCCTGCTTCCTCAACGGCGGCACCTCCAGCCCACACCCCAGGATCCACTTGGCAGGAGGCATGGCCCGCCAAACTCAGTGCCGAACGCACAGCAGAGCTACGTAAACGCTTTGAGGACGATTATCCTACTGAGTTGCTCGACAGTGATAGCTTTCCCAGCTCCCGCTTGCTAGCCCTCACTTCAAAAATGGTGGCCGATAAGGAGATTCGGTGGCTGCCATGGAAATTCCGCTTGAGTGCCAAAGCACAGGACGACAGCCTACTCATTCGTCCTAAAAAGCTCCCCCGCCTGACAGAGCTGAGTGATTTGCTTTTGGACGAGGCGCCGTCTCGGGATATCCATGACGGGCCGGCTTCTTTCAACCTCATCAATCAGCTGCTTACCCTGGCCACCAACAGTATTGCACTCTGTCGGGAGCGCACTTGGGTTCCCTCAAGCTTTATCAGAAGAAGTTTCTGAAATTGTGTTTCATGAAGTACGAGTCCGCTTCCAATCTTCGAGGCCCCACTTCCCTGGAAGCACAGGCCGCGGATAAACGGGCATGGGAATTGATTGCCGAACTCGTCAACATTCACGCCTGGAAGCTGGACGATGCCCTTCATGAGGTAACCCAGGTCAGAGCCGATCTCAGCACGCTTCTTGCGCCACGAGCTCAGATACCCAAGCATCTCTTCCAGCTTAAAGATACCTGGCGAAATCGTCAGGAAGGCAAGGGCAATCGCCCACCCTTTCGAGGCAATGGCAAGGGCAACAAGGGCAAGGGCGAACATCAGTCGCAGCCTGAGGATGCCCCCGAGCGGGCAGCTCGAGGCGGCAAGGGCAAGAAAGGCCCCACCTCCAGCCCCGGCAAGTGGCTCTCCACACTTTTCATGGAGGGCAAGCAGCACACGCTTTGCATGCGATATCAACAAGGCCAGTGCAAGGATCCATCTACTTGCCGCTATCTTCACAGATGCCTCCCAGCATGTCAGCACGCCGCATTAGGAAACCCGCTTCGGTGACCAGCGGGAGTCAACCGAGGTGGTACAGTCCATCCCGCTTTGTGTTCCCGCTCAACCTGAGATAGCGGCCAGGGACAGCTCCGCGGCTTCACTTTCCATGTCAGCCAGTGACTTCAGTTTCTCCACTTGCTTGTCGCTTCTGGAGGAATACTTTTCCTATGCCGCGACCCCTGTGCACGACTCCCAGGATTCGGCTATCACTCAAGCAGACGCCTATTTTAACCTCGGTGCTTTTGGGTTTGATGATGGCAGAAGAGTGGGCATTTTCCTGCGTACAGAACAATTCTCCGATATTGTACGATTTTTGAACTCATTCCTTTCATTGCGCTTCCCGGGTTGCTCATGGTCCTCAATCTGTGTCAGTCACAATGTGCGCGCGCTTTTACATACGGACGCAGGCAACCAACCAGGGAGTAGTAACTTTACAATTTCGCTTGGCAACTTTTGTGGCGGGGAAGTCTGGATTTCGCCGCCTTTGCACCCATCCTCGTCACTTGCTTCGGCCCCACAGGATGCGAGCTCCAAAGAATTTTCTGGCTCCGATCTGCCGCCGGGGGAGCTCATCGACACTTTCGAGAGAGCTACGGCCTTCCCCTGCGAGCATATTCACTGCACCTGTCCTTTCTCAGGTGACAGATGGGTGCTGACAGCTTACACATGCCGCGGCCTGAAAAGTTTCACACAGAGCATATTTCGTATCTTCGCTCCCTCGGCTTTCCACTTCCTGGGGAGCCCGCTGGAGCTCCGCCCAGCACTTCCAGTCCTGCAGCACCACTCTCTCAGGATGCGGTTTCCAACAGCCCCGGATTCTTCCTTGATGTATGTTGCGGCGCCAATGCCCCACTGTCAGGGAGCCTCCGACAATCAGGCATTCATTCAGTGCATCTGTATTGATGCCCTGGGCTCAGAACCGCTTGATCTCCTGCTTGATGCAACCTATGATAACATCCTACGCCTGGCCTTTTCACGTGTGGTACGTATGGCACATGCAGCCCCTGCTTGCAAGGAGTATTCCCGCCTAAAGCTCCGCCCAGGCGGACCGCAGGCTATCAGGAGCCCCGAATTCCTCAACGGCTTCCCGGACAACACTAAGGTGCAGCAGCAGCGAGTGGAAATCAGTCAGAAAATCTTATACCGGTCTGTCTGTATACTGCGCGCTGTGTTTGCCTCCGGGGGCCACGTCTCTCTGGAGCAGCCAACCAACTCCATGGCTTGGCTCGAGCCCTTCGTCCAAGACTTCCTATCTGAGGTACAAGCCACGCTTGCAGTGGTCCCCGCTTGTTCGGTGGGCGTTGATGTGGCTAAACAGTGGTTATTTGCTTCCAGCTTTGCATCTTTGCAGCAATTGGCAGCAACTTGTTCGCACCAAGGCCAACACACTTCGGTCATTGGCACGAGAGACGAGCAGGGCAACTTTCTCTCTCAGCGAACTGCAGAGTATCCTACAGCTTTAGCCACACGCTACAGCAAGCTTGTCGTCCCACTTTTTGACGGCTACAGACTGCATGAGCAATCAGACTTTTGTTCACTCAGCTTTGCGCTGCAATGCATGCCCCGCAAAGGCCGCGCTGCCCCCCCTTTCGGGGCTCAGGATGGCGGTGGCATCTATTCCACCCCCGACTGGTCTTACGGGCCAAGATACCAGTCCGATCTACTTTGTGACCTGCGCAAGGAATGGCAACAGTGGCTTCTGGAGAAGCACATCCCCGCAAGGCTCTCCCAACATGTTGCGGAGCATCGCGAGTCTCCCCTCTTCACTGAGGATGAAACAGCTTGGCTGCAGCAATCATTTAAGCGCTTTTCTGACAAACACTCGCTCTCCCAGGACTGGGATTTCTCTGCGCCTCAGGGACAACCATACTGCTTGTCCGCTTTGTCGAGACTTAGCCACTTGGTTGCAGACAAAGACACCTCGCTTTTCCCATCATTGATGCAAGGTGTCCCAACTGGCTTTGACGGGGATGTACCCCGCAGTCATACGCTGCGACCACGGCGTGAGTCCGAGAGTGACAAGAGCCACGAACTTTTGATCTGTGAGGGCAATTGGAAAGGGGCTGAAGACGACCCCGCTTTGCTGCAGCAACTCGTCGAAGAGGAGATAGAAGCTGGATACCTCGAAGTTGTCCCAGACCTGGAAACAGCTTTTCGCCGCTGGGGCAAAGAGCGGGTTGCAGTGGGCAAAGTCAACATCGTCAAAGCCCCCGGCCGCTCCCCCCGCTTGGTGGTTGAGAACAGCATCTGTAACACCAACCAATGTTGCCATGTTCCAGAGCAATTCAGTATGCCCAGCTTGCAGGACATCCAATCATGCTTCCCGCTTCGGGAAGACAACGAAGAGGTCCATGGTTTCAGCTTAGATGTGAAGGGAGCCCACAAAACATCGCGCGTTCGGGAGAGTGACATTGGGCTCCTGGGCATGCGACGGCAGGAGCGCTTGCTTTTCTATAAAGTCTGTCCCTTTGGGGCCACTTTTTCGAGCCACTGGTTCGCCAGATTGGGGGGCTGTTTCACCCGCTGCCTGCATTTATTGATCTGGCTGTCACATGTTCTCCTTCTTTATGTGGATGATCTTCTGCTATTTCAGAACAGCAAGGTCCTGCCACTTTCAGCTGCTTTGACACTGGCGTTCTGCGCATGCTTTAAGATTCCGCTTTCATGGAAAAGTTACAAATGGGGCAGACTATAACATGGATAGGATGGGAAATCAACCTATCCTCCGCTTGTTTTTCGCTTCCCGAAGCCAAGCGCAACAAGCTTCGCGAACAAGTTTCCGAATGCCTCCGACATCGTCAGGTCTCCCGCAAGCAACTCGACAAGCTTCTGGCCTCTTACAGTGGATTCTTCACGGCGTGCCCACTTTGAGGCCATGGCTTTCATCCGTGTACGATGACATGCACAGACCGCTTGGCACCAATGTCAGCATCAGCCCCACTTTATGGGCCGGCATTGGTTTACACCTCGACGAGGAACTTCGCTTCATCTCGTCGCCCCCCAGTACGGCCAGCAAGGGGGCCAAGCTTCTTTCCGCTCGACATGGTGACTTGCATACCAAGGCGGATCTCTGCAAAGTGCCTGTGAGCACCAAGCGCATCTGGATGCGCATTGCAGACCCTTCATCGTCACGCCGCAAACTTTGTCAAGAGAGCCGAGATGTTCTGCGTTTCTTTCAGCACCTGAGCTCTGTGGAATGGCGCCCTCGTCCCCTCAGGCCACCAGCTTTGGTTGCACTGGAAACAGCCGCAGACGCTTTCGGCAAGGGCAACCAATGTGGCGTGGGGGGCTGGCTGAGGTTCCCAAGTGGTCGCATGGTCTGGTTCTCTCAGCTTTTCGATGTGCAGCAGTTCGCAGCTTTGGATATTCCAGTTCAGAGCGATGCCACCTTGGACATTTCCAGCTACGAAACTTTGGCCCAGTGCTTTGTTCTCCTCGCTTTCTGGAAGACCTCAGGTGCGGGACGCTTGGCCTTGAAGTTGCCAGCCCTTAGTGACAACAGCGGCGCTGATCGAAGCGGTCTGTAACAAGCTTTACACGTCCAAAGTCCCCCTTAACATGTTTGTGCGCAAGCTTTGCATGTGGAGTGCACTTTCCGGCATTTCACTGGACTGTAGCCACATCTCCGGCGAGAAGAACGATGACGCAGATTTTCTCTCGAGATGGAATGGCGACGCAGCCACTTTGCCTTCACGCTTCAGAAGTGAGGACAGGTTCCTAGTCGATTTGCCCGCTTTCTGGAACATCACATTTTCCGTCTCACTTTTTCCACCAAATGCTAAACTTTTGTGGAAGCTTCCAGCTTCCTACACACTTGGCCCGGCCTCTAAGCAGCCGGCCAGCAAGCCTTAGCAGCACCTCTACTCGCTTTCGTTTCTGGGCATTGCCGCGTTGCTGCGAGTTTCGGCTTGTCAGTTTTCAGCCCGGGCTTTTCGTGACTGCAGCAGCTTGCTTCTGAACGGCTCCGCTTCCGGCCGAAGGCCCGCAGCCGCAGA